TTAGGGAGATTCATGTAGAGAAATAAAATGTAAACTTAATAAGAAAATTATGAGACAAAATTCAAGAGCTATCTGAAAATAGAATACAACAAACTGTGAAGAGGCAACTACTCATAATTATCTTTAGATGTTTTGATAAGCTCCAGTTATTGCTACAGTGGCAAAGGAGGCAATATATCATCTGGGTGGAATCCAGATTAAGGGACAAGAAAGGAAACAAAGTTACAGAATTGACAAAGTACCAAGTGTCTACACAGTAGAGCAAATGTGCAAAGCAAACACCGTTAGGGTAAAAGTGAGCAGATGTGTGAAATAGAAATAACTGGAGCTAAGGATGAAGCATTTCCACTTCCTCCATAATTTTAGCACTGACAATATGGCTAAAAAAGGAAAACAGGATACTCTTTTATATATTCAAGTAAGAATGTATAAATCCATCAACAATAAATCTTAAAATAATTATATTAATTAATGAAGTATTATTTACTTTTTGGAATCTTATCGTGGCTGCTGGACTGGGTAGGAAACTAGTAATATAGATTTCATTTCATTTGCTTTAGTTAAGATGCAACCCCACTGAAAATTCGAGCCATATATGTTAACAGTGTAAAATTTATTTAAAGCAAATGACTGTACTTTGGAACTTAATTAATGACTCTACCATCTTATTCAAGATTTATTAAGAAGACTCAATTCTACAAATATATATTATGATGGATCTCTTGTGGACTCAGAGGACACTATAATGAGCAAAAAAAGACTAAGTTTTTGGGCCCCATAGAGATTATGTTATCTTGATCACAGTCTCCTGATTAGTAAACCTGAATCAACAATGGTTATCCTTTGAAGCAAGAACATATTGTCTCTATTCCTTATAGTTGGTCAGAAATCTTTGATTAGGCTGGTGAGGTAGCTCAGTGGGTATAGGAGCTTGCTGCCAAGTCTGAAAACCCAAGTTTAATACCCAAGACCCACTTGATGGACAAGATCTTCTGTCCAAAGTTGTCCTCTATCCTCTACATCCAGGATATGGTATATGTGGACCCATATTCTCACACACACACACATTACATATGTACACACATATATACATACATAGAATCATACACACACACGCACACACACACACACACACACACACACACACACACACACACACTGAGTGAAGATATTGCTCAAAAGTTAAGAGCACTTGCTGTTGATAAAGAGGATATGGGTTCAGTTCCCAGCACCTAAATGGTGGCTCAGAATCACCTATAACTCCAGTTCCCTCTTCTAAGATCTAGAGTCACATATACATGGCACATCTATACACATGCAGGCAAAACATCGACACACATAAAATTGGTTTTGTTGGAACATTTTTCTTTTTTATTCAAATTAGAAATAAGCTTGTTTTAAATGTCAATCCTAGTTCCCTTTCCCTCCCCTCCTCGCCTGGCCCCCACTGACCCCCTATCCCATCCCCTTTCTGCTCCCCAGGGAGCCTTACCCTCCCTGGGGGATCTTCAAAATCTGTCATATCATTTGGAACAGGGCCAAGACCCCACCTCATGTGTCTAGGCTCAGAGAATATCCCTCTATGTGGAGGACACACATAATATTTAAAAATAAAGCTAACATTTTTTTAAAAAGTGTAACAATATTTACCACAGTCAGATGTGATTATACCATATCATATTTTTACCAGATATATTTAATTTTCTTATTGCAACTCCATAATTTGTTTTCTCTGAGAAGGAAAATGTGGTAAAGATGTACAGAGACAAAAGTCTATACTAATTACATGATTTGAACATATATTTCAACCAGTTCTTAGATGTGTGATTCTAGGCAGTAGCCTATGCATCAGTTCACTTAACTGTAAACAACCAATTTTCAAATGGATTTAGGAGCTGCTCCATAGGATGAAATCCACACCTGGCAACCATTATTGGTTCAAGAATCTATGGTTGGACAGATAATAGGCTCTGCACAAGACTCACGCAAGCCCAAGTCAGATCACTCCCATCACACTGATAGGATTCGGGCTTAAAATGCTACCCCAGCTATGGGGCTATTGGCAATTGTTAGCTGCTGGGAAAGGAGACACTTTTTTTTCTAAGAGTGTACTCCCTGGCTAGTCAACCATTCTCTCCTTGAAGAGGACACAACCAAGAATATTTGGGCAGCATAAATTGGTCCTATGAGTTACTTAAAAGAAAGGACACAAAATAGGGTGGGTAGATATAAGAAGAGTTTGGGGTGGAGAATATGATCAAAACATACTGTATGAACCTCTCCAAGAACACCCGAGAAATGAGTAAGAAAAACATAATTAACAGGTAATTTTTCCTCTTTATATACCATGCTCTGGTAATATCTGGAGATATGCAGAAAGAAAAAATAATTTCTTAAGTGTAAGTGGGACAATTTTATCTAATAATGAATACACACACATTATATGAGACATTCTTTTTCCCATTTAGAATGAAGCCCAGAAGTATATTGTGCACAATGCTAGGTGATTTTAAGGGCAACTGTTAAAAATATTTTATTACCTTATGTGACATCCTAGAACCTTCATCCTGTGAATGATGGAAGCAGAGACAGATACCCACAACTAAACACTGAAATGACCCCCCTGGAACCCAGTGACAGAGATGGAGGAGTGATGAGCAAAGTGGTCAAGACCGTGCTGGTGAAACCCACAGAGACAGCTGACTGGACAAGGGGGAGCTCTTGAACCCCAGACTGATGACTAAGAGGCCAACAGGGGACTGATCCAGACTCCTTGACTGTAGTGTCAGTGAGGAGGACTCAGCAATCTATGGGGCCTTGGGTAGGAGACTAGTGTTCACCATGGCATACAAATGAGCTTTGGGAGCCCATTCCACATGGAGGGATGGGCCTAGGTCCTGCCCTGGATGAAATGACAGACTCTGGAGATCCCCCCAAGGAGGGCCTCACCCTCCCTGGGGAATAATGTGGGCATTGGGCTGGGGGGTGTGGGGGGGCTGGTGGAGGGAGAAGGGGAGAGCTGGGATTGACATTTGAAGCATGCATGCTTCTAATTTAAATAAAAATTTACATAAAATAAAAAATATTTTATTGACTCAAAGAGCCACATAATAGACTGTATGAATAGATGAGTATTTTTATAAGGAAACCTCATTTGGGGCAAATGGAACAAAAAAGAAAAGTCAATTCACCTCTCCTCCTTCATAAATGAATTATATGGAAAAAGAGTAAGAATAATTACAGTCTAAAAATTAAGAAAGCATTAAAATGAAAACTAAAAAAAAGCATCTGAGTCATAGAATCAACAGAGTATATTCAGAGATGCAGAGGTGAAGAAAATAAAGAAAACAGATACACATAATACAGAGAGAAAAACCCAAGCAATTCTGGGAAGACAGATTCAAAGGCAAAGGAGAAGAGACTCTTAAAGTGGGTGTTGTAGACACTTCTTAATCTGTACAAACTACAAGCAAATAATGAAGAAATAAACATCTCAACAGTACCAAGTGACTGTGCCACTTACATTTCACATAAGACTATGATTTGTGTGCTCAAGAAGACCTATAAAATCATTTTTGAAATCTGGATATGAGAGGCACTTTATCATAAATGGCAGCAGTTACACATTGGATGATATGGAAAAAATCTAAGGACAACAGATAGACTGAAAAGCCAGGATTAAAACTTTGGTGTAATTGTACAGATATTTCATATACCTACAGTAGGACAAACAAAACACTTTAAATGCAGAGACTTTAAATTTAGTAATTAGTAAATAGTAGGATTATTTGCAAAAATTGAAATATTATATTCTGCCTATTTTGCCTATTAAATACTCTGCTAAATATTCTGTGTACTCCTGGTGAAGACAGTTTTCATGGTCTTGAATACAAACACACAATTCCAACTCAAACACAGAGGCTCCATTTCCAAGACAAGGAAGAAAGGAAGACTGGCATGTCACACAAGCGATAAAGACACACAACCAGTAATCAATGCATTTTATTTTCCCTCAAAGATGGTATGAAGTAATTAACTAATAGTCTTTAAGGATAAATGTAAACATGGATCAACTTGAATATTCTAAAATGTTACCACTGCTCTACAGGTTAGAGCCAGGCCTGGGGGATCACTCTGTAATGCAAGGAGGGAAAGATGAGAATTTCACACCAGTTTAAGTGAAGCCTGGATGATGTATCAAGTTCCAGCAGAGAATCTTGTTGTTTCCCAAATCTTCTCTATGAACACAAAACACTGATTCTTAAGTTTAAGTGTACTGACTTGTTCAGCTTTAAAGAATATATCATTTTACTGTTTTCCCTCTTCCGGCACCATTTTTTTAATGCTTTACTGTTAAATTCCAGCAAACAAAATACACACCTTGAAAATGGTACACACTTGTTCCTGGGTGGCACTGCTGTAGAGATCCCATGACACTGTACAAAGGCTCGCTGGGTGTGACAAGAGCAAACACCAGCGGTCCCCTCACTGAACGGCCCAGGAAGGGTTTCAGCTGAAATATTTACTGAAATATCAGTTACTTTCTCCCTGAAGTGACTTAGACACTATGGATGGACATCATATGGTAAAACTTGCCATCCCAGATGAACCCAATTTTGCATCTTGTTTTAGAATTATTATATTTATTCTCATAAGACCTTGAAGTAGTAATATGCCAGCGAACTGCAGTAAAAAGCTTTCCCCTTTTGCCTGCATCATATTCAAACTTTAGAAGTTATTCCTTGAAATAGCAAATGACACAAAAGACAACAGCATTTGCATTAGAGAGTCTATGAAATATTGGAGAGAAATGGGAGTGATAGTTTTTCCTAACTTGCATTAAAAAGAAAAAAAAATCACATCAAAGTAGATAACCATGGAAAGTAAACTTTGCTAAAACCCGAAGCATCACTAGCTCTCGAGACAATAAAATGGCGGGCATGAATTGGAATACCAAGAGAGGCAAAGAGGCAACCAAGGGAGGTAATGCACTTTCTCACCCTGATAAACAACTGCATCATTTCCTTTTCTTTTTGGGGGTTTCGGTACTTCTCATAAAAATCACGGCGCTTCTTTGTTTCTTTGGAGACTCTGTCTTTCCTTTCCCGCTTCTCTGCTGGCTCATCTGTGCCATCAGCAGACGACTGTTTGCGCATTTTTGGCTTTTCCACTTCAATATAGTTTTCATTTGGGTTCAGGACAATGACTCCATACCCTTCCTGTTTTGAAATAGAAAAAATAGAGTGGTACAATTTGATCTCAGAATTCATTTCAATTCATGAAATATAAGTTTCTAATATCCTAGGCAAGATAATTTTATGTAGTTTCAAGTTACTAAACTATGCTTTTAGCAAAGATTATGTTAAATTTTTAAAATAAAGTATAAAATTGTTGGCCTTTATTACATGCACAAATAAGCATAAATTATCTATAAGGATAAAAATACATGGACATGGTTGCCCCAAAGAAAAATGATGAATTTTAAATGAAAAATACAATCTATTCCTAGCATGAATAAAATGAATGATCACACAGGAATACATTCAAACCATATTATGTATGTTTTAAGAAAAGTATATCACCTGTGGACCTTGAACCTTACTCCCTTTCCATCCAGAAAGACTAGAAATCCACAGAGCAAGACCAACCAACAGGATGATGAGTGGAAACGCCTATTTTCTCTTGTAGACCATCCAACAGTATGATGAGTGGAAACACCTATTTTCTCTTGTAGACCAACCAACAGTATGATGAGTGGAAACACCTATTTTCTCTTGTAGACCAACCAACAGTATGATGAGTGGAAACACCTATTTTCTCTTGTAGACCATCCAACAGTATGATGAGTGGAAACACCTATTTTCTCTTGTAGACCATCCAACAGTATGATGAGTGGAAACACCTATTTTCTCTTGTAGACCAACCAACAGTATGATGAGGGGAAACACCTATTTTCTCTTGTAGACCATCCAACAGGATGATGAGGGGAAACACCTATTTTCTCTTGTAGACCATCCAACAGGATGATGAGTGGAAACACCTATTTTCTCTTGTAGACCAACCAACAGTATGATGAGGGGAAACACCTATTTTCTCTTGTAGACCATCCAACAGGATGATGAGGGGAAACACCTATTTTTCTCTTGTACTTTGCTTCATGTTTCAGGCCACAGTAACAGGCTACCTTGCTTAAGAATTAATGCCCTGAATTTCAAAGTTTAAAAACACAACCTTTTCAGTTATGAGGGCTTTAGGTTTTAAACATTTTCCTGACTTGCTCACTTCTCACAAGGCAAACATTTCTGAAGTTATTAAAATTATTAGCTATTTAGGTTGAACTGATGAACTAATCTAAACATTAGAAACACAGCAATCGCTACCACGTTTGAAGAATGGAAAAAAAAACTGAAGCAATTTATATGTCTTTTCTATTCAATTCTGCATTGTGAATGTCCTAATTATGATCTTGTAAAAATCTTTTAAGGTTATACCTAGAAAAGTAATATATTAAGACAAAAATATATGAACCACAGAAAATACAGTTTGTAAAGGTCCATCCTTATTAAAACAAAGATAGTGTTTCAAACTGCAACCATGGAATTTTCTACTTGAAATTCAGATTTCAACTACTTTTGAAAACAAAACCAAACATAAGAAGATAAATTTTAAAATGCTGACAGCATTAGTTTAAAAGAAATCTTGACATAGACCCAATTCTTACGGTTAGGTATGTCCCACTGTGTTGTGACTTTGTGTTTTTGCTTTGTCTCATAAACTAGTTGTAAATGCCATTGGAATTATTTCGCTCCTGTGCCTTGTCAGAGGATACTGGCAACTGAAACCATTGCTGGTTTGGAAATTTCAAGATCATCGAAGTTCTGGTTTTGGGTCAGGACTATTAATTAAGATACAATCCTTTTATATATGTGGAAACTATCTAATAGCACATCTTAACACAATGAACAAAATACCACACACTCTTCAACAGATCCTAAATAAAACTTTTACATAAATGCCTCTCTTATGAACCACATAATGTAGTTTTAACAATTTAAACATTTGATTTCAAAGCAAAAGAGATACTGCATACTTTCTTTTTAAGTTTGTTAGCTGTTGAGTCAGTTTTACCCACAAAAGACATTTTATTTGGGCCCGCTTTATTCTAAACTTCATAACTATTCAAAAGTCTTGTAATTTCATTGTGATCTCTGTCAGTAGACAGATTGTCACTTGGTGATTTTCTACAGTTGGACACACTTGACTAATTATTAAAATCACATTTGAAGGAAGTTCCTAACCAGCTTCCTTGTGCCTTTTAAAACTCTTCACGCCTGTCTCAAATTTTACCTATACCTTCTCCTCCCACCAAAGTAAATTAAAGAACACTGTTACACTCTGCTAAACATGGTGAAATGCAGACATTCAATACACTGTCTCTGGTGTAAGGAACATATTCAAACAAGGTCACCACAGGGCAAAAAGGAAACGGCCTCCACACTAGATTTTGTAGTGTGAGTAAGTGGTCTCCTGTCATGTTTCTTCCCTGCCTTCTCTAACTAACACACACACACACACACACACACACATGCACACGCACACACACATGCACACACACGCACACACACACACACTGAGATTTTCATACTCACACAGAAGCTAAAAAGCCCAAGTAGAATCTTAAATTCCATAAAAGATGCAAAGCCTTGTTTACCACGGTATAATGATGAAAGGAATATTCAAACTCAGGGGAACAAAGTCACACTTTAATTACTAATTATATTAGATGATGCTCATATGATAATTAATATAATAATAGAACAAGGATTTGCAATGAGGACAACCCTGAGCAAAGCTAACATCATCAGAATCACCAAACCAATATGTGACTTAATCACCTAAATATTAAGTTCACACCATCACACCCTTCTGGACATTTTGACCTAATTTTTTGAAGTCAGGCTGAAAAACAAAACAAAACAAAAAACCCTTGAGCTTAGTTGGTTTTAAATGAATTCTGAAATGTGAGATGTCCCATCTAAGTACGTATTATATATATATATATATATGCATATATATGTATATATATATCTCTTCAAAGAAATAGTATTTGCCTAAGTTATTATGAAACAGAGAATTACAAGACTCATTAATTCAATTTTCTAAAGGTTCAATGCCAATTTTTCATTGAGGCATCAACAGAAGAAAAAATGATGCCATGTTTAAATCATCACAGCATAAATCAATTAAAGAATTTAAAAAATTTAGATGGTTAAAATTCTTAAACAGTTAAATTATCTTTAATTACCCAAATCATTTAAAGAGTATTTTATCTTTTAGACTTTTAAAATTGTCATTTTAATTAAAATAATAGTGATCACAAATAATCAGGAATATTTCCTGCAAAAATCAGAGTTGCAAATGTAATTACAATTCTGGTTAGAGAAATTCTAGCATTTTGAGTTAGGATTTTCATAAAAACTTATACGATGTTGACATAGATCATTTTTAACAAGTTTGTAAAGAGTAGAATAAGGTGCTTGCATCTTCTTACTTGTATTCTAACACACATGCAGCCAAACTTCACCTGGTCCCTCCTTTCTCTTACATACAAGGTCAAACACAGCTTTATGTAAGATTCAAAGACTCTAGAAATGTCAACACTAACATATGGCAGCCAAGTGTCAAAGAAAAGAAAGTAAGACAAGATATCAACAGTTATTTTTTAGTAGAACTTACAACTTCAAGTACTAGAACATATATTGACTTAAAAAATAATTCTCGTCCCAATAATTCAATAACACACAGCAAGCTAATGTCACCTACTAATGCATTTTATGAGACTACGAATAAATAGATAAAATAAAATCAGATATCAAATATATTAAAAAGAGCTATGCACTGCTGCCCTTAACAAGGGAACCTCTTTAACATGGGCCTAGAATTCTGAGTTTCACAGTGAAGCTTTCTTTTTATATTCAATTGTTCCTTAAGTGAGTGAAAGTTCCATAAGATGCAAAGTTGCAGCATCGCCTGTTAATTTTTAACAAGATAAAATGATCAAACTGTTTATTTAACAATTCAACTCCACAAGGTTTAGAACATCTTTTATAATGATTTACCAAATCACTTTCAATATGCACACGCAGTTGTTAACTCACTCTTAGAATTGAGATACAATCTTGATCAAGAAGGTATTCATGTTGACAAATACAAGTTTAAAAGGAAGCTTTAATTCTGCAGACTCTATTTCTATGCATGTGTAACTGTAATTGTGGTCTCATTTACAGGTCTATATTTATAAATTCTATATTCCAGGATCTTAATCTGAGACACACAAAAGTTTAGTGCTGAGCATGGCATTTTAAAAACACAACTATTTGCCCAGACTAATACAAAATAGACAGTATCCCCAGACCTCTTACTTTGCAGACTAAAAATGCACTTACTATTAAATAATAATTTATCATTCCATCAGCAAACAATGGCATATGCTGGAACAGACAGGTGTTTGTCCAACACAAAGAACACACAGGAAATTTTGCTAGAGAAGTTAAGTCAGCACAGAAATTTACTTATCAAGAAGGTACTGAGAGAAATCTAAAAATAGCTGACAAAAAGAGATGACTTTTCATCCCAACTGAAACTATAAAAACTAAAGATTTATCAAAGTTTGTATGCTAATTACCAACTCTAAAGAGAAGGGAAAATTCTACAGCTTTTAAGATCTCTTATAAGTGGCTACATAAAAAAAAAAAACAAGCTGAAAGTGCTCAGCTCTGCACATTAACTTGCCAATACTCGAAGCCACATGTGACCAGAAAGGTCAAGGGCCACACTAGAATCTTTTGACCCAAGGAACTATCCATTTCGGTCTCCAGGCAAAGCTCTGTAGGAGATCATTTTACACAGATATATCAATCATATTCTTCAAGTTCAGTCTTCTACCTGCCTCGCTTGAAAGAAGACAGGTGTTCATCCTAAAGGCAAATGAAACTCCAAGTGTGTTATCTGTAACTACCCACAGTTAAAATAGACAGAAAGCTATGCATTCATCTTTTCTGAAAGAGCTATGTTATGTTTATTCTCTTCTTCACAAGAATGCTATGCATATGTCACTGTTGCGACATCTTAGGTGCCAGAGTGAGATGAGGTCATGACAACCAATCAGAAGTCACTAGTGAAGCGTTAAAGTAAACATCGCTGTTAGAGCTGCAGCTCT